GGCCCCGGAGCGGTGCGCCGGTGCTTGGGTGGAGGCGCGCCCCCGGGGCTGGACCCCAGACCACGCAATCCCAGGAGCGAGGAGCAGCAGGAGACGCTTTTGCTGGGAAAAGGGGAATTAGTGTCTCCTTCCTCTGGAGAGCAGACCACCACCCTCCGTAAGAAAGACTCCCGGCGCTCCCGGGAAAGAAAGACCGCTGTGCCCGGCTGGACTGGCCCAGAAAAGCTCAGAGACTGGGGGGAAGATCTGGGAAAAGAAAATAAGGGCTATCCCGGTCCTTCGCCTCGGGCTCCACCCGGAGGCCACATTTCACATGCTGCAGAACGGGTTCTAAAGGCCGTGCAAGTCTTCCATCCACGGCACAACAGAAGCAGGTCCCCACTTTTTTTTCTCAAAAAGTTGTTTATTGAATTGTTCTTAATGTTATTTCAAAAAAAAAATTCAAAATTTAGATAAAAAGAAAAAACCCTGGTGTAAAATCAAAACTAACATCTGAACCATGGACATGCTCCGATACACAACAGAACTGATAGCCCCCAGGGGCTCTTGCAGCTTGCTGCTGCCTGACCATCCTGACCCAGAGTACCTCCTCAGGCCACTCCAGAGGCATGCACACACAGCCCCTGACCAAACCCGCCTGCACCGTGTAGGATGGGCTGGGCATCCCACTGTGGTAGCAGTGTGGATCTGGAGTCAATGAAACCCCCTTCCTGCTCAGCTGATATCCTCCCAGCTACTCACCCCAACAGGAAGGAGGAGTTTGAGTCCTTGACTAAGATACAGATACTAGTTTCTGGTCAACAGGGAGCATGTGTTCCTGGCAGCCCCCTTGCTCGGGGCTTAGCATGCACCTCCCTTCTCCTCTGCTCATGGCAGCAGACTCCACGCTAAAGGAGTAAGAAATCCACCGGCTTCTGCTGAATGCGACTTGGACTGCCAGCCAGGCCTCAGGGATGGATGGGCAGGTGGAGACTTAATTCTCTCAAAAAGAGGCTATTTAGCAAAATAAGCCAAGTGAGTGTTCAGTGACTATTTGGGACTATACACAGATGGCGTTTGCCTTAGAGACATCACACACATGTTGATAAATTTCCTGGCAAGAGCTCTTAACACAAGCCATACGTGGTTAGTAACTATTGGATCTGCTGGGTGGGCTTCCATGGAGCAGCCCACAAGATAGCCAGGTCCTCCTAAGTCATGCCGGGGGTGACCAGGCCCTGCAGCATGATCATGAGGCGACGGGCAGGCTTGCTCAGCGTGTTGTGGGGTTCCACCTGGAGAAACTGGAAGAGCTTCTGCCGCACCTGGTTCATGACTGACCCCATGTGGTCTCGGGTGATGGGGTCACTGTGGTCCAGGTGCATCACTGCTTCCTCCACGTAACTGAAGGATAGAGACCAGGGTTAGAACCAAACCCAGCACGTGATCCCAATCTGATTCAGTTCATTTTAGCACTGAAGATGCACAATTCTGCTCCCCCACCCACCCAGACTCAGTGCAGTATGTTCAGCCATCAGAAAATAAACGTTACTGACTCATAGCAGAGTCCACCTATCCCTTCTTCAACATGTAAGGGCAGCCTATGTATTTTCCAGCCTGCAGTACGTGCAACACAACCTGGCTGCTTGAACCAAGCAGGCACAACAGCAAGCTAGAACTCTCTGCAGAGCTGGAGGTGGCACTTGGCCACAGGCCATGCCTGGTCACAACTCTCTAGGTATCTTCTTTGATGTCTTTTTAGTGTAAGCAGAAGCAGCCACTTATTGGACAGTAAAAATCCTCAGCAGTGAGGCTTATTTCATGCAGGGTTATATTTAAGGTCTTCTTCCAATGTGTCTGTCCAGGAAGGGGTGGGGGAAGAGTAAGAATTTTACCAACAAGCTGTTCTAAAGTTCAAACAAGCCATAAACTTCCAAACCACAGCCTGACAGTAAGGCAACACAGTCACTGCAAAAGGTTTTCACTAACAGACCAGCTTGAATTTAACAGCAGCAACTTTAACTCTGATTACCAGCTTGTCTGTAAGCTCTTTTTCAGTTTTTCTAGCTTGCTTTATCCCTGTTGTTAACTTGAGTGAAAAACTCAATTTAAGTCATTTTTCCATACAAGCCATGGTTAAAACCTGCAGGTACCTTAACAAGCTAGCTTTTTAGGACAGATAACGGGGGTTTGACTCACTCACTAAAAATGTTTATGGCAAATATCAGTGCAGTCACTATTTTGTCACAAGCTTTGCTTAGAACATCTAACACACATTACTTCCAGTAGCTCCTACTGCCACCTCCCACTGAGCCTGTCTGGCAGTCATGACAAGAAACTGCTGACATGAAGTCCAGTGACAGGTTAAGAATTGAGGACAGAGCAAAGTTGTTCTGGATATTAAGCTATCCAGGAAACATGGCACTATCCCTCCGTTAGAGGGGAATTGTTCCTTGGTTAAAGGAAATCGCTGCACAGACTGCATATAATATTTACAGAATACAATCCAGGAGGTAACAGCACCTACAGCTGGGTAGCCCTTCTACTATTACCTCTGGGCAGCAAAGCTTTCTGTGGCAATGCCCACATCTTTTTCCAAGTCATTACTGCTTGTTCACATGCCAGTAACAGGCTACAGAAGCTCCAATCTTCATCAAAGCACCACCTTCCACTTCCAGGCACTGAATTTAAAGCCAGAGCCAGGAAAGAGGTCTGCATAGGTTCAGACCCAGTGCTCTAATCATACTCACTTCAACTTCAGTTCTGTACGAGTACCCAAATCCGAGGAGAGCTGCTGAATGAGAGACAGCAGTACAGGCTGGGACAGCGGGCATGGATGCTGTCCAAATACTTGCTGAGTATCCACAGTCTCACAGACATACAGGACCAGGTTGAGATCAGCTGCTGTTAGAGCCTGCAAGGAAGACACAGCTAGAAATGCAGAGGAAACAACAGGCAGGTGAGGGACACAGGACAGAGCATGAGGCAGCCCTCTGCCTTGGGGCAGCTCAACAGCTCACCAGCCTCCTCTGGAAGTAGAAGTCTCTGCAAACCCTGCTGTACAAGCAAGCCGGATCATGTTTAGGCTCTCAGTCTATGCTCATAGGATACCTGTGTCTGTTCTAAGCTGAACAGACCACAACCAGACAGAGGGGAGCAGGTTACAGTTAGCAGCACGGAGCAGGGCAACGTTTGCATCTCCTGCCAGCCCACCGGCATGGCACTGCTATTATTCCCAGAGGAGTTTGTCTGCAGCAGCTCAAATGGATCTGCCTACATATTCAAAGACAAAGGCAAGGTCTGGCCCCAGCTGGTAGATCTGCCTGGAGGAGCTTATGAAGCTGTTGCTCTTTGGGAGTGCACCACATGCCACCACTGATGGCAAAACACTCTGGCTTACTGGAGTGCTGACACTGTCCTGACAGGGCATGGGCAGGGAAGAAGGAACTCAACTGCCACCAAATCATGGAACTTACTTGGCTCTGGCTTGACCTGCATGAGAGTTCAGCTGCACCCCTTGAGCAGTCTGCTGCCACAGGTCTTTTCAGGCAACTCCTGTATGAGTTGTGGGATTATGTCCCCAGCTCAAGGAGCCCTTTTTCTCCCCACTCCATCCCCCAACAAGCAGTGATGCCCACTACTGGGAACCCTAGGTACCTGCTGAAAAGCTTGGTTGAGGTGTCCCTGCTGGAGCAGCTGAAGGATGTGAGTTTGCTGAGACTGGAAATCCAAGTGAGCAGAGGGGATCGGAGTCCCGGCTGCCGAGCGCATTGCCTGGACAATGCTTGAGGTGACAGCTGCTTGCTGCTCCTTCATAGCCAGGCTCACTTCTCCTTTAATAACCCTCTGCACCTGGGCCAAAATAGACTCCTGCATGCTAAAAAAAAAAAACCACAACAACAGGCATCTTTGAAAATGGAAGGCTGAGGGACAACATTGCACAAAGCTTGTACCAGTGAGAAAACACAGGCTTGCTTGCTGATTGTAGTGAGGCTACCAAAGGGTTAATACACATTGCTCTAAGGTACAGGCATCGGAAACATGCTGCGCAAGGTAGCTCTGTGGCCAACACCCCGACGGAAGATGCTGGGATTCTGTGCAGGAAAATTATGTTTCAGGGAACTAAGTCTCTCGTTACACAGTGGTTTAAGTATTTAATGCGTCTGGCCTACAAACAAGGCTACTAAGCTCTAGGTTCATCCCTGAATGGGCCCAGCTTTCTATATCAGATCTGTTCGATGCAGTCTCCTAGCCTGCAGATGATACCTTTAGAATGAGAACACACCTCCACTGAGTGTCTGACTTCTCCACACAAGACCAGTTCACAGTGCAGGCTCCACTGCTGTGTGTTACATGTTTTCCCACCCAAGGGCTGGATCCTCCCTCTCTTACAAAGGGTACAAAGCACCAAACCTGCTCTACCACAGGTAGAAGAGCAGGACTTCCCTGGGAGCAAGCACAGCCCATGCGACAAGACCAGAATTTAGTCTGGTAGCCTTCCTGGAAAGTCTGATCTGCATTGAAGACCCCAATGTGCTCTGACATATGTCCTAGTGGCTTAAAATAGACAGGGGCATTTTGCCCCACATGTGACTGCCAGCCAGTCTTAATGCCTGGCAACCTGCCACCAGCTTCATGGTGCAAATGTGCTGAAGGCACCGCCAGAATCATGTCCTGAAACCAGGATGGCCAAGCACAAATTGCTGCAGAGCAGCTGGGAGCAGAGAGTAGCCTGCAGAAACTGTTGAGATGCCTGAGGACACAGAGGAAAGAAGAAAAGCCCTCAAAAGACCAGAAGAACATTTCAGAACAGTAAAGCTAGTCAGAACTGAGTATGCTTTCGGGCTGCCTTAGGTTCTTCTGTACTCCAACACACACGGGACACTGTGAAATGCAGGCCCTGAGCTCCCACATGCTACAGCGATACATCTGGCTGTTAGAAACCTTCTGCGGTCTCCCATTTTGTGCCCTACAGGGCAACAGTTACACCAGCCCACATGCTTTGTCATATTGTGCACAGAGTCAACAAGCAGCCCTACAGTGACAAAAGGCTTGTTCCACAACTAGCAGGGAGAGGTTTTTGTTAGGCACATGTATACCTCTCACTGACTTCTCTCTCCACAAGCCCAGCTGCCAACTTACTTGCTCACGATAATATGCAGCTGATGCTGCACCTCAGCATGGACACTGGCTGCCACATTGGATGCCAGCTGCTCAGTGGTGCTCTGGAAGGTGCTGATGAGCTGTCGAAGCTGATTCAGCAGTGGGTCCCGGGCCTCCTGTTCTCGTACCTTCTTGTTCTTCAAGTGAGTCTCAAGCTGCTGGATATCTGCAACGAGAGAGGAAGATGTTCGTGCCATCTGTACCCATGGAGATGGTCAGGGCAGAAATCCAGCTGCCAGGCTCTATATGTTCTCCAGCAGAAACAATTACTGAGCCAGTGTGTGAGTGCAGGAGAGAGGGGAGAACGCACAAGCTTTGTTTTGGGCCGCATTACACCAACCTAGAAACCCTGCTTCTAGCCTTCCCATCATGCAAGATTACATGACACAGCAAAGCAGCCACGAGTTCTCTTGCGACAGACCTTTACAGGCACTGTTTGTTCAGGGCAAGATAAAGGTGGGAGTGAGGGTATTTTATTTCATACAGTGCGAGCTGTGATCTGATTTAGTGATGGAGTTCAATGCCAATGAAGAAAGAGGAGGAACATTTCTGACAAAAAAAAAATCATGTCTGCAGAGATCAGAAAGCTGTATTTTAAAATATTTTATGAAATAGTCTAATCAAAAAGGAGACTAATATAAGCTCTATGTACTTTGGGAGACTTGTGAGGAAAAGGAAGGGTGAGAATAAACAGCAGCTGGAAACACTGCACATCTACAGACAACAGAAGACGCTGTGCCAGCACTAGCCAATTTCAGGCCCCCTCAGAAACGAGCTCTGCAGAGTAGTACCTGCCTGACCTCCCAGAAGGCCAAGGAACTGGATCCCAATCCTGAGAAGAGGAAAGATCTTCTCCAGTGCATCAGTGTACAATTTTCCTTACTTAAGGGTATAGTTTTCTTTTTTCCAGCCTGACCATGCCTACCTACATTGTTCAGTCATTATTTAACCTCTGATCATTCCTGTACCCTCCTCTAAACCCTCCCCAGTTTCATTACCCCTCTGAGATGAGGGCCTAGCTGCAAGACTGCTACCCTCTCCATATATCATCTTCCTGATGTCAGGATAGGGTAATCCTACAGCTGGGCTCTTCTACTCAATAGATGAAGTCACAGATTCACAGAATGAGGCCAAGTGTTTCGCTGCACGGACTACAAAGACCAGAGGTGAATCTCTGTTGTTACAGCACCACCCACAAAAACATCCTCATTTCTGCTTCTATTTCCCAAGCATGAAACAGAGCATGCAGATGGGCTAAGAGGTTAAACAGTCACCAGTGAAACTCTGAAAGGCAAAGACATAACAAGAAAAGGCCAACTTGTTGTCAGCCACTAATGCAAATACACTGCAGAGAGAAAACTCAGAGAAGAAAATCTACTCACATTCCTGTGTGCCCTGCTTGAAGGTGTCATTGATTTGCTGGAACATGGACTGGCAGCTCTTGACGCTCTGAAATGCTTCCCTGTAAGCTGACTGGATCGGCCCTTGCAGAGTATCGGCCGTTGCCCTCACAACAGTATCTGTAAGGTTCTTACAAGCACACACAGAAGAGATTCCAGAAAATTAACAGCAGCCTGCTGCAGACTAAATATGTGAGCAAACACTGTAGGTCCCTGCAATGCACCCACGCCAGATAAGGACAGCCTAGTGTCAGAAGTGTGTACTCCCTCAGCTCTTTCCACTGACCAGGCTGCACCATGACTACAGGAGGCAGAGCATCTGCTTGCTGAGGGGCTGCCTAAGAACATCACCATTTCCCTGTAGTTCAGCTGTAGAGCAAAGGAAGGTGGCAGAGTCAGGCATGCCTCCTTTCCCCTTCCCCTGCTTCCCTCCCACAATCTACCATTCCCTGCCAAGGTAAGTAACAAGCTTCTGCTCCCTAAATAATGTAGAAAGGGAGAACAGAGTGGAGAGCAGAAGAGCCACTCAAACCTTCACCACTTGGCTGATTGAGATGGCCCTAAAAACACTGCTGTAGTGAGAATTCTCTACTCTAGTAGAAAATGAACAACCTGGTAAATGAAAGAAAGTGCTAATGAGGCAAAGCAGGCAGGGGAGTACACAACAAGCTTGCTCTCCAGGTAAGACTAGGAAAGAGCTTTGACCATTGGCAGCTAAACTGACCTTACCTGGAGATATAGGTGAGGGGAAGAGGTATGAGGAGTCACTACCCAGGCAGGTGACAACGCAATGTCCCCAGGAAAAGCTACAGTCTGGTTCTCCTTACCTTTGATTTCACTAGCTTGGTGATACTCTCTTTCAGTGTTCCCTCAACAGCAGTGAGCTTGGCGGCAATAGTGCTACTTAGCTGGCTAGCAATAGGGTCCATACTCTTGGAAATACCTAGGCACAACACAAAACGTGAAAGTTGCAGCTTTAAGCCTAGAGTCACACTTCAAAACCTGACAAAAAAAAAAAAAAAGGAGTCAAACTCTTCTTGGATATGACACAGCAAGGGGCAATGGTCATAAGCTCTGGCTTGGGAAGCTAAGGTTGGATATCAGGAGAAACATTTTGCTAGGAAGGTGGTACAGTTCTGGAAGTCATCACAAGAGGCTGTGGAATCTCCAACCTGAAGGTTTCCAAGACTTGCCCTGACAAAGTCACAGCTGACCTGATCTAGAATAGTGGGTAGCCCTGCTTCAAGCAGAATGGTGGATACTAATGGCTGCAGAAGGCTTTCCCACCAGTATTTCTTTGAACATTTCATTACATAGATGGTGCCAGTGCGTCAAGGAAGGGAAAAGACAAGTTTAAGTTTGCTTCAGTCAAGTCTCAACATCTCCAAACTTATTAGGCTCTTTTGCCTCCCTCCACCAGACAGACTCCAGAAGCTTTATGGATTATAATGAAACATCAGACCACGCTCTCTGGAAAGGCATCCCCTCTGGGATCCTCACACTCCTTCCAAACCACAAATCCTCTTCTCAGATTACAGTGGGGCCCACAACAGTTTCAAAGTGCAATGACTAGTCTTCATGTAACTTAACCCCTACATCATATAGCACCAACACTTTCACGCAGCATGCTTTCAATCTCTACAGGGCTAACTGTAGGGATCCACCTTCAAAACCTAGGCAGCAACACTCACACTGGGGTATGGTCTTCTTCATCTCCTCACGAATGGTCCTCTCCAGACGGTTACACACAGCAGAGGAAAGGGACTGAGAGAGCTGCTGAGACAGATGCTCCTGGAGCTGCCCATTGCGCTGCTGTCCTTCTGTCAGTGCTCGGTCTAGCCTTCTCTCTAATGAGAACGCATGTTAAGGAGGACAAACAACAGATTTCCTCTCTACCCTCAACACTCCTGTCCACAAAGATGGACACTAGCCTCACCTCCAGAGGCTCAGAGAGCAAATTTACAGCTCTGGTAACATTGCTGGTGTGTTCCTGTGAACAACAGGGTGCTCTTAAACAAATTATCAAGGTTAGAGAAGAGCTCTGGAAGGCGTGGTAGAAAAGCCAAACAGCTAAAAGAAGCTCAACAGTAGTGTTCCCTATGTATTGTGGGTTAACTTAGCTGCCCCTGTAGGCAGCTCAGCCCCACACAGCTGCTTGCTTACTCCTCTGCAGCAGGATCGGGGAGAGAACAGGAAGGGTAAAAGTGAGAAAGCTAGTTTAATAGGTAAAGCAAAAGCTGCACATGCAAACCAAGCAAAATAAGGAATTCATTTACTACTTCCCATCAGTGGACATGTGTTCAGCCAGCCCCAGGAAAGCAGGGCTCCATCACGCTTAACAGTGACTTGGGAAGACAAATGCTGTCACTCCAGATGTCCCCTCTTCCTCCTCCTTTCCCCCAGCTTTTACTGCTGAGCATGACATCATACAGTATGGGACATCCCTTTGGTCAGTTGGGGTCAGCTGCCCCAGCTGTGTCTCCTCCCTACTTGCCCACCCCCAACCTGCTTATTGGTGGAACAGCATGAGAAACAGAGGCAGCCTTGACAGGGTTTTGCAATAGCGTAAACATCAGTGTGTTATCAACATTGTTTTGGTCACAAATCCAAAACATACCACCATAAGAACTGCTATGAAGAAAATCATCTCTATCCCAGTCAAAACCACTACAGAAACCAAGAAGCCCAACATCCATAAAAAGCAAATTGTTAAAAATGTTTCTACAGGATGTAATTGGTGGACCTAAGTGATATAGTGATGTAGTGCATGGGAGCAAACCCAGGTTTAATAAAAGCTAGTCATAGCTCATGAAGCAACCAAGCTCTCTGAAGGAGCCAACACAAAAACACTGAGATGCATATGCATCTTAAAAAAACCCCAAAACTAAACACCAAGACAAAAAAAAACCCCAACAAAACAAACAGTGAAAAGACAATTCAGCTGCTGACAAAATTCAGTGCAGATCTGAAGTTGTGCAGATAGGGAAATATTATTCTAATATTACAATATAGCTCTAGACTCTGAACTTCAGTAGAAAGCTATCTGAATTATCTATGAAAATATCAGCCTGATGGTCAAAAAGGAAAATCCAAGACTAATTAATATGAAAACGGAAATCACTGTCATGTCATAGAAGTTAAGAGTGGTTTCAGACATGAAACAGGCTAGAGCTGCTCAGTTTGGGGAACATGACCAAATTCAGTGCAGTAGATGATGTACAGGAACTGACTACTCACAATACAATAAAAATAATTGGATGCCAGGTTTGAAAACACCAAAAGAAAGTACTTTTCAGATGACACATAAGGCACCTGTGGACTGCCAGATGTATATATGGGTACAGACAAGATAATTCTGTATTCAGCAAATGCAGTATGGCAGTCAGATACTATTTCTGGTGCAAATACTGACTTGCCTTAAGGAGGAAAGGAAGGAAAGGATCATCCCATAATTACTCTTTGCAACTGGCCACTGCTTGATGTGGGATAATGTATTAGGTGCACCTCTAGTCTACTCCAGTGTTACAGCACTTATGGTCTTAATGGGTAACTAGAAGATTTAGTGGCATGGAGAAAGCATCAGTTCTTCTCCGTTCTGAGTTTCTCGCCCTTCAAAAGGGACTGAGGGGAACTGAAATAGTTATATTGTGGCCTGGCAATTTTACTGCACCTATGGCCCATGCTACCAAGATCCTTGAACTTTCTTAGCCTTCCTCATGTCTCTAGTCTGCCTCGCGGTCTTCCGCTTCTTAACTGCCATGCAACATTTGCAAACAAGGATACGCTCCTGCTCCTGCTGGGAGTCAATCACCCTCTCCACGTGACCCATAAGGGAACTCTGAATGGCATCAAGGTGATCCGTGAGTCTCTGCAGCAGCTCCATCTGGTTCTGACGCAGCTCAGAGAGCTCCCGCTGTTGGCTCCTCAACATGCACATCAGCTCATCCTGAAACTCTGATGTCACCTGTGTGTGGAGAGGACAAGCATTCATTTCTAACAGGACTGGAGGCGAGTCAAGCTTTCTGCTAGGTATTAAGTCAACCTCTGTGCCTAGGACTGAAGAGTAATACACAGAGCAGAAAACAGGGCCAGTTTAATGCCTATTTCTAAGACTTTTGTCCCAAGAAATAAACCCATAAAGCAAGGTACATGAAATTCCTGCATGGAATTCATAAATGGTTGCTTAGAATATCAACTGTTTAGATTCAAGACCCCCTTCAAATCTCTGGCATCTAAAAGAAAACAGAAGAAAACAGATCCTATTCACTTTTGGCCAGGTACTGAGAAAGAGCGTTTAAGCCTTCAAATGTAAATACTGACCTCAAACACTTATGAAAGAGCTGTGCAATCAGTAGAGCAAGAAGGAAGTTTTCTAGAGCACTTTTTCAGCTCTTTCACTTATTTATGAATAACCAAATAACTGAAGAAGTGTACATCTATAGTTCGTTGTCTCTTTACCTGCTCAAAATATCTAAAGGAGGTACATACATCAAGGGCAGTTTAAGAAGTGTATGCAACGTGACTGAGAGCATTTTCTACCAGATATGAAGGTACTATCAACAGAGATAAGAAATGCCAACAGGCAAGTCCCACTGTGACCCTTACTTTGCTGGGAACAGCTCATCCTGCTGCTGATGCATGTGAGTCATCTCAGCAGGGAAGAGGAAATAAGTGGTAGCGTCTTAGATTATATAGCGCTTATGAGAACACAGACATGCACATCAATATGTAAAGGTGAGAAGAAAGACATCAGTCTGGATAGCACTGAGCAGCTCCTTCTCTGCTGTGCAAGTCAGGGAACAGAGCAATGCCAAGCCCAAGTGCAGCCCCATCTCAGCCTGCCTGGGCACAGCAGGGGCCCATGGTACTTCAAGGAACTGCGATGAACTTCCTCTCAGGTCTTTAGTAAGACAGTAAATAGAACTGAAGCATCATGCCCTTGGGACAGACTGCAGAGCAGCTCTGACTCACCTGGTGGTTAGATGATCTTGGCGACTGGTTCACATCCCTGGAAATAAAAAGCAAA